GAGCTAGGGGTGATGCCCCACAGGCACTTTCTAGGCTATCGGGCCAACAGACCCTGCTACAAAAAAAAAAAAAGATTGTGGGCTTGCTGCAATTTAATCCTGGTCCAATGTTCCCTTTACTTTGAATACCGTGTGATTAAGGACAAGTCTCTACTGTAAATGAAGATAATACTTAAGCTTTAAGAGAGAGCAATCAGATGTTAAAGGACCTGGCCAGTAAAAAGTGCTAAGCTTAAGTGTCTAAGTCCCCATTCCCAATGACTTTTCAGTCTCATCTTTTTCTTTCCTGGTTCTTTCTATGTCAATGTCAGCTGTTTACTCCCTAGCCAGTCACCCTCCTCACCAGAATATTATGTCCTTTATATTAATATTTTATTTTGCAGGGATTTTGTTTTTCCATTGAATCTCCTGCATCTAGAACAGGACTAGACGTGTAGTAAATATTGATTGTATGAGTTGGATTCTGACTTTTTTATTCTTAAACCACTGTTCTTCACTTTGGTTATGATCCATTTTTGAGTTTGTTGAGTGTGGTTCATGAGTAGAGGTCTAAGACTTATTTTTGTATGGTGGCTTTCCAGTTTTCACCATTACCATTTTGTCTAAAAAACTGTTTTTTCCCATTTATTTGTCTTGGTATCATTGTTGAATATCAACTGGTTACAGATGTATGTATGGGTTTATTTCTAGACTCTAAATTCTATTCATTGACCATATATGTCATATTATGAATATTAACCCCAAGTCTTGATTACAGGTATTATGTGGGTTGAGGTGGCCAGTTTACTTAGTCTTTTTACAATGGTACTTACCCATATTTATCTTGGGATTATGCACATTGACATAATTTGGAATATATCATTAATATGGTGCCATATTAACTTTCAATAGGTTTTATTTGGTCATAACAGTAAACCATATACACGTAAGTTCACTTTTCATAGATCATTACTATGTAGTTTGCGTTTGCTTATGCGGCATTTAAAAACAATTAGAAAACCATTGGTTGTTATTCACCTACCCATTACTTTTTTTTTTTTTGAGACCAAAAGTCTCCACCTTTGGGTTGGCCTGGCTTAGAGTGGTGCCGTGGCGTCAGCGTAGCTCAACAGAACCTTTCAAACTCCTGGGGCTTCAAAGCAATTCTGGCTTCCCTCAGCCTCCAAGTAGGGCTGACTACCAGCCCATGGCGCACCCATCCGGGCTAATTTTTGCGTAATATTTTAGTTTGGTCAATAATCTTCTTTCTATTTTGTAGACGGTCTCGCGCTCAGTGATGGTCTTATCGAACTTTACCATACCATCGAGCCATCGCCCGCTTCGGTGCCTCCCATAGATGTTCTTGGTTACAGGCAGGGTCCACCTCGCCCGGCCTTTTTTTTTTTTTTTTTTTAATACCAAGAGGGCTCCATCTTGTTCCCAGCAGAAGTGCGAGGTTGGCGTCAGCCCAGCTCACAGCAACCTCAAACTCCAGGGCTCAAGCAATCCTCCTGCCTCAGCCTCCTGAATAGCTGGGATTGCAGGCATGTGCCACCATGCCGGGCTAATTTTTTCTATATATTTTTAGTTGGCCAATTAATTTCTTTCTATTATTAGTAGAGATGGGGTCTCACTCTTGCTCAGGCTAGTTTCGCACTCCTGACCTTGAGCAATCCACCTGCCTCAGTCTACCAGAATGCTAGGATTACAGATGTGAGCCACCATGCCCAGCCACCATTACCTTTTAAATGGCTCTTAAGGGCACTTGTGATATTATCTTTTCATAGCTATTTGTCTTTTGAGTATTCTTTCTACAAAAGAAAGTAACTTGTAATATTCTTTCCCTTATAATTTATAGATTTTGCATGCTGAAACTTCTCAACCAGAAGAAAGGGCCATCACAATGTCCTTTGTGTAAGAATGATATAACCAAAAGGTATATAATTTGGGTAATAATGGAAGGTTGGAAACAACAGCAGCAGGAAAAAGTAGAAATTCCTTTATAACATAGCTGTATTCCTATAAAGCAATTCATCAGTAGAAAAATGTATAAAAGTGTTTTAAGCACAGTAAATCATTTTTAAGCTATTCTCCTATTTTATGAGACATCTGCCATATACAGGTATTAGCAACTTATTGCCTTTTTCTGATGCTTCTGTGTAGTATAAGAACTTACAGTTTCATCTAAAGTAAGATTGTCACCCTGTCCCAATTGCTAATCATGCTTTTTTTTTCTTTATTGAGTTTATTTCTACCTAATTATTTATACACACAATGTATTTATATATTGTGCTTCTCCTCTGCCATGATGTAAGTTGTATTAGGGTAGTGACTTTGTCTATCTCAATCAATAGTTGTCTCTCCAATGTTTGGTACATAGTAGGCACTTGGATATTTAAAGGAATGAGTGGTATTTTCCTCCCAGTTTTCTAAACCCAAATCTCTCATCAGACGTTGTTATAAATCTGTGTTTTCAAAATAATGTAATCATTATTTGACAGAAATCCCTGAGAAACACAGCTAGCAGTGAGGAGTTGGATGGGATTTGGATATTAAGAGTAGTAAGTTCTCTATGCGGTCAGTGGATTTATATCTACTATGGGTTCAGGGTAAGATTAGAGCAGATAGCTTCAGGCTCTTGGCAAATTTAAATGAATGACAAAAAAATTAGAAAATCAGTACTGCTACACAGTTCATTCTTATGTAAATGATTATTAATGTAATATCACTGATGGCTCTGTTCTTTGAATATAGGTTTTCTACTATTACTATATCTTGTTTTTATTTGTCTACATTTCTTTCCTTATTTTACTGTCTTTAAAAAGTTACTTGCTGAACATGCTGATAATTACTTGCTGAGCAAGTCTCTCAAACAATTTAATTTCAGAAGCCTACAAGAAAGTACAAGATTTAGTCAACTTGTTGAAGAACTATTGAATATCATTCATGCTTTTGAGCTTGACACAGGATTGCAGTGTAAGTGTTGCATGGGCCCAGAAGCCAATGCTCAAGTAGCTGTCCATGAAAACTCAGAAAGTTTGCATGTTTATTTCCTGACTAGCTGACAAGATCTTCTGGTCAAGGTTAACTTTAGCTCTCTATCTGTACTCTTTTTAAAATCACTTAAACTGATCTCACACTTTATCAATCCTAAAGTGCACATTTTTCATATCTTAACATCTTTGAAATTGGGAGCATTTTACTATCTGCAGTGTGTCATTGTTTT